TTTATTAACATATTCATTTTAGACCTTAATAGAATTGTAATATCTTCAGAAAAGCTGTATTTACCACAAAAAAAAGAAAAAAAAATGTATTTACCAATGTCTTCAGGGAATTGCTCTAATTGAATTTAGTTACTGAAGAGGAAAGGAAAGTAGCACAGAAATAGATTTTACCAATTACTTGTCTTCATTAGTACATTTTATGAATCTTCACATTTAAATTAATAGAACAATAATTAAAATGGAGTTACAAGGAATTAGATTTAAATAAGAACACTCCCACTTCTGATTATTACTCTTGCTTTGATTTAATAATAAAATAATTGTTTTACCTACATTTGAATGTAGCTTTATAACTTTTAAAGAATTCCATTTGTGCCCTGGGAACTAAGAATCAAAAGGCCAAAACCAACAACCATCAAGTTGTGAAGTGAAAAGAATGCTCAGTATTTCTGATTCATGCATGTCTAGAAGCACTATTTATGAATAATAAAAAGATAATAAAATATTTTAATGAACAAAACATGTTGAAACCTAACATAAGTAAGACATGATGGAAACACTACAACTGTTTTGTTCACTTCTCTCCAGGGGCCCCTCCAATAAACATCAATCATTCAAGTCATTGGAGGACAGATGGGCAGAGAACCTAAGGACATGAGAAAATGAAGGTGGTGTCCTCACCAACTAATTAAGGCCCCTCTTACCTTGCATAAGTCACTTAAACCTTATGGAACTCTGTTTCCTCATCTGTAAATTTAGGTAGTTGTAGGTAGACTAGGTGAATTCTAGTGTCCCTTAAAACTAAAAATCTGTTTATGCTGCTTGTTGCAACATGATAAGCATTTTTCGGGCCAATAATAATGACTGATACTTCATTATACATAAGGCTAATGAAATAGCTTTTTAAATGTATGATATTTTGTATTTTACTGAAGCACAGAAAACAATAAAAAGTTATATTTCTAAATTTATTTGATTTTATGTAAAATGAATTTTATAACCCTAGTTTTTTATTTATTATAGTTTTTTAGACTCTCAAATTACAGGATAATACTCAAAAAATTAATTTTTAAACCATTCATTCAGTAAACACTTATAAGCAGCTACTATGTGCTAGATGTTGATGTTACAGTGATAACTCAGATGCCATTCATGATCATAAAAAACTTAGAGTAATGTAAGGTAGAATGTAGTTCATTTCACCATGATCCATTTTATAATCATATGATCAATAGTTTCAATAGTATAGTACATAAATATAGGTTGATCTAATCTTTCCTATCTCACGTTTCACAATCCTCTATTCTAAGAAATATCTGTGTTTAAAAATACTATATATTCATAGCAATAACAGGATTTGGAGTGAAAAAGATGTTAGAATTTCCTATTCTGTTTCTTGCTTTACATTGAATTATTACAATTAAGTGTATATTATTTGAACTAAATTTGAAGATCCTTTTAAGTGGTTAAAAAGAATTATAAAGACCTGTCCTTTGTAGAAATCTTTAGATGAATCTTCAATAAAAGTAAGTTTCTATAGCATTTGGAGAAAAAAGGTCATTCTTAACAAGAGAGTTAAAATAGAAATTAAAAATTGGATGTATGAACCTCTGCATGAATTTTTGTCATCCAGGTATGGAGTACTGACTGAGGTTGACACTATTCTAGATGAATGAGTCTTCACTTTTAAGAAACAAACATATGCTATTATCTGTTTAAATAATACTTTTATAGCACTTACTGCTAGCTAGTTCTAAGTAATGCTGAAACTACTACAAATCCTTGTTCTGTGTAATGTCATAAAAACCGTAACACAAATACTAAGTGATACTCAAAGAGTTAGAATTGGCAAACTTGTGATGTGATAACATTATCTCCACTTCACAGGTAAGAACAAGAAACACAGGCATGGAGTGGTTAGATAACTTGACTAAAATCACCCAGCTAGATAAAAACAGGTAGTTAAACCCAGACAGTCTGAGTCCAGAGTCCATGCTTTTAACTACTGTGTGCCAGCGTCATTTACGCCACAGATGAAGTATGTTCTCTGCTGTTCAGATTGTGGAGTCTCCTTTCACTTCATGGTTTCACATTTAATGACTTTATGAGTTAGAGAAAATTATTTAATCTCTCTAAGCCTCAATCTTTTTATTTAAAAAAGATATAAAAGAGTAGTATCCATCCCATTAGATTGGTGAGATAAGATGAATTAATGCGAATAAAGCAGTCAGGTGTACAGCAAGCTCTCGGTAAATGTTAGATATCATTGGTATCATCCTCATCATTGTCATCATTACTCTCATTATAGATTTTTGTGATAATCTAGTATGTGAGTATATTATTAGGGATGAGAAGAGGAGGGAGAGTTGAAAGTTTTACAGGAGCAAAATCTCAGTTGAATCTAGAAAGATTAATAGAAATTAGCAGGGATAAAAACAGGTTCTAAAAGATGCCTATAAACCTTTTCATTATGCAGTAGGAGAAAGTTTGTCAAAAGTCTATGGGATACTGCATATAAGTCACCAACCCCCACCCATCACCAAACTTGTCCTCTGACTCTTCCCTCTCAGCACTTTGCCTTCTGGTCTCCTTACTTTGTTTCAACATACCAAGGACACACCTGTCTTAGAGCCTATGCACTTGCCATTCATTTTCCTGAAATACATTTTCCATAGATACGTAGGTGTCTAACTCCCTGGACCTCACCTTATGTTGCCTATTCAATGAATCCTTCCTGAATTTACCCTATTTAAAATGGTGATCTAGATTTGCCCTCCAAACCCCACCCTCACATACATTTCTGATCCTTCCTGCTCTCATGGACTTTTTGTTGTTAGCATTTATCACCTTCTATTACACTATATAATTTACTTCTTGAGAGCTTTTTGTTGTGGTGGTACACTGTCTCCTACAGATAAAATGTTAATTGCTTAAAGACAGAAGAATTTTTATTTTCACAGACATAAGCCAAACATCTAGAACAGTCTGACATAAATACACATTCAACAAATATTTGTTGAATGAATAAATGAGTGAAAACCTTTATGACAGTGAGTTTCATGTAACCTAAAACTCTGCTCTCATTCTGTTCTCACTCTGCTCAATATGAGAAAAGGAACATTTGTCCTACCAGTCCCTGAGCGTTCTTGGGACAAGGAATAAATTTCTCTTAATGGTATATTTTTATTTTGAGTTCAGATGCCTACTGAACTCCTGCTATGTATATACCTTCCTTCCCTTTGCTTTAGGGACAAGCTTTCCTTCCCAACAACCACCTCCAATTGATTTTACATGTGTGCCATGTACTTCTCTACTCTTCCACACTACAGTTCTCTCTCCTCATCACAGGATCAACAAAGTAAATTAGAATATCAGAGATACTCCTTTAGTATGAGGGATTATGTCTTCGTGCTTCCCTAGGCTTATACCACATTTTGTAGTTTCTTCCCTTCTTGAGCAAAGGTGCAACCCAAAGGCATACATTAGAATCAACTTCATCCCTTCACTTTGCTGGATAGTACGTGACAGAAATAGGTTAGGAGCCAGACATACTTACATTCTTTTCCCAGCTCTACTTCTTACTGATTGAGTAGCTTTGTCCTGAGCCTGTTTCCTTATCTTTGAAATGAAGATGACCACAAAAGGATGTATGAAGCTTAATACATCACTGCCTCCCTCAGGACCTGGCATAGAGTTATCATTTTATATATCCCCTTTCCAACAATTCAAGGAAAGTGGCAGGTGAGAGATGTTTCTCTCCTCTGCTTCAACCCTTTTTTCATTTCTCAGAAGTGAGATGTCATAGTAACAGAAGACCCGAGAACACCCAACTGAAAGCCTAAATTGGAAAGGCAACACAGGGTGAGCCCAGTTTTGGGCAACAGCAAAAGAGATGGGGAGAGAGGAACAGCCGCAGAAGTCTGTATGCCCTGTGAAGGTGGACTTTATCCTTTGATATGTTATTACTAGGGAGCTTGATAGCAGGGCTTGGCATATATGTGACACAAAGATTATCTGGCATTAGTAAGTAATGGCAGATAGTTTTCTCTTCGTTGTTGGAAAGAAGGGATATCAGGAAAGAAAAATAAGGATAAACTGTAAAGAATCAACTATTGAGATAAAAATATACAATTATCAAGGTAAAAATGCATATTACTTTTTATGGTTTCCCTGGGATTCTTTTTGAGGTCTTAGTTTCTTGACCATAATATATTATATTTATTTCAAATATATAGTAGCTGAGATACATTTTAGGTCAAATAGGCATATATAAGCTGCTACTTAGGGAGGTAGGCTCTCTATATAAACATTTCTTTGGGAAAGGACATTTCAAGTTCCAAATGTTCAGTGTACATACGTGCTTCTGGAACATAGAATATATTGAGAACTTTATTCTTTGGTTTGTGATATGTGGTTAGCTTTTTAAAGTGCTACATGGTTACAAAAGCATGTTTGTGATAACTTTGGAAATAATTTTAATACTTGATTTAAAATGATTATGTAAATCATATTTCACTCTAGTATTTTTCTTCTCTTCATATTTTGTGGAGGAAGAACAACAAACAAAAAATCTTTGTAGCACCCTGTTCAACTTGTAAATGTAGAGGGCACTTCACCCCTTTGTAGTCTTTCAGCACCTAAACCATTACTGTCATCACATCCATCATCACTACATTGCTCCACTGGACTTGTTTACTCATTAGGAAAGGCAAAGTTGCTCGGCAGGGGTTTCTACTAAATCATTACTGCAGACAAACCTGTCTAGACTAAGAGAGTCTCAACTTCTTGTATCTCCTGTTGGGCAACTTGTGTCTTCCACTCAACACCAGTTCTGATTTTTATTTATTATTGTTTTTTTTTATTTTAAAAAGCACCAACTGACAAAACCATTTAAGTAAGATAGTTGTCATTTCTCATGTCTATTGCTTTGATCATTGTGTGATATTACTGTAGCTTTATTCATCATATATTTTGTATTTCTTTAACATTTCATTCCACAGGCACTCCAGAAAGTCTGACAGATCTAGCATCCAAAAACAGACTAGGAAAGGCACTGCCTCTGATGCAGAAAGGTAGGCTTGGTGTTGTGCTGTGTGGCCATCTTCTATTTCAACTGATAAATTCAAGGGTGCCTTCACTTATTTTATATGATCAGTTCATAAGCACAGATTGTGATGTTTAAAGACATTCATGTAAATAGATCTCCTATATGGGAATAGCCTTAAAAAACAAGAGAAGGATAATTTGAAGGTGGCCCTTAAATTTTAGGGTTTAAGAAAAATCTCTTCTATTTCTCTTAATGATCATGCTGATGACTAAAGGGGACTAAAACTGTACTCATTACTATTTACATATTAGGACATTTTAATATTTTGTTTCAGAGATTATTTAAATATTATCAATGAATGTAATACTTGGAATATGCAAATATTTTGAGTGTTATTTATCTGAATGATGTCATCTTTTTAAAAAATCTCTTTTCTGCAAATTGATCCAAGATTTCTACTTGCCTATAAAAGATATTTGTTGAGTTAATGTAAAAATTAATGGAATTATTGACTTACTTTGCAAGTTATCCAACTTTACCAATTTTTTTTTACTATTTTTAGGTGTAAGATATTAACACATTATTTTACATAGCTGTAAAAAACACCTCATGTCTCATTAACATATTCTTGATTCATCCAAAAATTATTGAGAACATGTAGGGGGACGCAGATGTGAATGAAAGAATGCATTAAAGTGTTACAGCTATTACTATAAAGGTATGCACAAGGTATAGTGAAAACAAAAAGAGTAGGGTGCAGAAAGGAAATATCTCATAAAAGGTGTCACTTGAGGGATACCTGGATGGCTCAGCAGTTACAGCATCTGCCTTTAACTCAGGGCATGATCCTGGAGTCCCGGGACCAAGTCCCACATTGGGCTCCCTGTGTGGAGCCTGCCTCTCCCTCTGCTTATGTCTCTGCCTCTCTCTCTCTCTCTCCCTCCCATGAATAAATAAATAAAATCTTTTTTAAAAAAAGGTGTCACTTGAGTGAAATCTAGATATTTAAAAGTAGATGTGTAGAAAATATTCCATGAAAAAATATTCCATGAAAATGAAAAAAATATGAGTAAACACTGAGGCTTAAAATTTCCTCTTGATCTGGGGGGATCTATGCCCATTTTGAGAGGGAGAATCCTTTCAGGAGATGGGAGAGAGTTGAAAATAAAACTGCAGAAATCTCTAGATGTTATGTTACACATGACCTTGTGGACTATTTAACAGAATTTCAACTTCTGCTTTATTCATCCATGAGCCATTGGTGGGCTGGACACATAAGAGGCTAATCATTGGCTTTGAGTTCAAAAATTATAGATCACTATAACAACAGTTTGTAAGATGAATTAAAAGATCGAAAGGCAGATGCAAGATTCCAGCTAGGCTGTCACAATAGATTTGATTGAGATAAACTCTGGACAATGCAGTTATTCATTTAAAGGATATCTGCCAAGCAATGTGCTAGTAAGTTCAAGGAATAAAATAGTGAACAGCAAAAAAAGGAAACCTCCCAGGAAATACTACCTCTGAATTGAGATCAGAAAAATTAGTAGTTAAAAAAAAAAGAAAAAGAAAAATTAGTAGCTATTAGTTACATCAAGGGGTGTGGGTAAAGGGAAAATGAAATTTATTCCAAGCTAATAGTTATGGGGATATCGATTATTTAAGGATTCTAATTCCTTTAGATTTAGAGATTTAGGATTTAGAGGATTCAAAAAGTGTTGAGTAGATATTCAATTTTACAGAGATCTAGGCTTTGAGAAAGAAAATGAAAGATAGAGAGATAGATAGCCTGTGATGAAACAATACTGATTATGTTTCCATTTACATATTCTTTAATGCCAACTCAGTTAACTACAGTTTCTTTACTAGTATTATAAATGACTTGAGTTCCTTAGACAAGTTTTTAATCTTCAAGCACCATTTATTGCTCCCCTGCCTCACAGACATAATTTCAATTATTTTGATATATTAAGATTTTTCCTCAAAGTCTTATTCTTTTTACCCCATTCAGGCTTTAGTTCATTTAACAACAACTAATTGAGTGTAAATGAGAAAGTCTTTTTGATAATAGGATACTGTTTTATAAAATGTTGGATGATTCTAGAATCAACTCATGGTGCTTAACTACAAATGAGTGGGCATTTCCCTCTACAACACTGAAATTATCTGTAAATAAACACATATCCTCTTTCCCTCCAAAAAGAATAGCAAGAATTTCATTGATTCCCAGTCTCCCGTGTTTGCTGCTTAAGTTTCATATTCATATTACTCTTGCTTTATTTACTTTGCTAATAGATTTTAATATAGAAAACTCAAACCTTTTAAGGGTGTATATTTGTTCGATTATAATTAAAGCTCTCCACTGATTTTTAGAGGATAAATTATATGCTTGGTTTTTAAGTGGATTGTTGAATAACTAGTTACAAAAGAAGAATTGGCCTGATTTTCTAGGTTTGTGTTAACTCTCATTACCTTGAGTTAACACCTAACTTCAGGTGAATTGAAGTCACAGTATGAATCCTTTGGACATCAATGCTTAGTCTTTGGGAAGTTAACAACGTACCCAAAGGATTCATACCATACAGTCACAACTTGGCTTCTGGCAAATGTGCTATTTAATGGTCATCATTTTGAAGGTCCTTTGTTGGCCTTAACAAATTTGGTCTTATGGGGAATAGCGTTGTAAGAAAATATTTTGAAAGATACGACCAGTTACAGACAGAGGACAAGCAGAACTCATTTCTGACTTTTGTGCCTAGCATTTAAAGCAGTGCTTCAGATTTTCTTGGGAAGCTCCTTCGTAAAAGTCTGACTTTTCACTCTCATATGAATTCAGTGTATGATATCTAGCAGCATTTCTCCTTTCTATTCTAGCGACTTTTATTTTTGTGGAACCCATACTCTGCAACCTACCTAGGGGATGTTTTGTCAAGATTAGTATTTAGAATTAACCAATTTGAAAAGGAAAGCTTCCCAACATATATGCATTTTATGTTGTTCTGGTGCTATTGGAAAGAGAATGTGTAGGCCTGCAATGGCCGTTACAAGAGGAACCATATTGAACAGCTGACCTTAAATAGCACAGGTGTGTCCATCCTTTATTTAATAAGCCATAAAAAAAGATATATTTTTAAGCTACAGTAGAAGAAATTCACTGCAAGATCATTGCAACAATAGATATGTCTGACTAACCTCAGATTTTTGTGAGATATGTGTTTTTACTTAAGTTCAAGTCAAAACACTAGTCTTAGATGAAGAGAGTAGGGATAGATTGGACACTGGTAAATATTTAGATTTACATTTGGAGATGGTAAACTAGCTTCAGACATACTTAAGTTTGAATTAGAATTTTGCTCTATAAGCTTTATTTTTTGTTTAAAAATTATGGGATATTTATAGATCTGTATAATGGAGTAGGTATTCATTAAATGCCATTTCCCATACATTTTGTTCCTACAAGCTCTAAGACCATTCTGTTAAAACTTGTCAAACAGTTTGATATTTGGATATATATTTATATTTTGTTTTGTAAGACTAACAGTATATCCAAGGATTTGCCATTTTTCATCTTGTGATATGGAAACAAATTCTATCTCAATAGGCAACACAGGGAGCAAGTGTTGGTGGTCAGTAGATCTGTGTGGATCCTACCTTTACCGCACATTACCTGTCATTTTACAAGTCACTCTATGATCTTCAGTTTTTCTGTCTATAAAATAGGAATAATGATACTTCTCCAGAGTTGCTATGAGAATATCAAAAAGAAGAACATATATGTGTATACATGTGTCCATATACACACATACATTTAGTGCCTGGCTCCAGATGGATGCTCAGTAAAGAATAGTTGTTACTGTCATTTTACTTATCCCTCATGCACTCCCTATTCCATTCTCTGGTATGGTTGTTCCTAATCTCTTCCATTCTTGCATCCGTATGTTCTTAGCACATTACATTCCATTGAAAACATCAAGGCTGAACAGCCTGGATTCTCAACATTTCATCCCTGTACCTCAGAATTTCTTGATTGATTTGCCTTTCCTCTAGTCTAAATGAACTGTACTTGGTTCCATTATCTCTCATTTCCAGAACCTTGCCCTTCTCTCTTAAAGTTCTGCGTATTCACTCTCCTCAGTTCTCCTTCCTGGAATTCAGACTTAATGCCACACTCCTCTCTCTTCCTCAGGCAAAGTGGTTATTGATGCCACCCCTTTGGTCTGTGCTTTCATACTTATAGTTTGGCTGGCAGTAGGGACTGTTTTGTTATTAAGGGATTTTTTAGTTCGTGTCAAAGAAAAAACAGATCTGGTGCTAAATGAGGAACCTTAAACACACTATACAAGCTGTTCCCAGCTACTCCTGTAGCTTTGGAGATGGAAACACTCTTAATCTGGATTAATACTCACCTAGAAAGCCATTTATTTGTCTCTGCAGTTACTTTTTATATCTTTGCCAGTTTGGTGCCATACAAGGTCTACCTAAATTGTTCATATTTCAAGTAACATTTAAATAGTCCTTTTAGTGCCTATGAATTGCATTAAAGAATGAAGATAGATTTAAGTGAAATTGAAATGAAATTTCTCAATACTAGGGTGATAACTACTATTCACTTTTCAGACCACACTAAAAAAGTATTGTGAATAAGGATTGCTTGAAGTTTGTACTCATGATAATGGCTTTTAAATAGAATAGATAAAAACTCATTCTTTACTACTGAAAATGACTTGATCATGCCCTCCTTTCCATATAAATTAATTCTATAGAGTTGAAGTATCTGAAAAGTCAATTTAGAATGAATAGACAGTGTTAGTATGTATTGTCAGTTCTTTTCTCCTTTAATTTATAAATTGAGACAACAGTCCAGGTTTCAGGATTAGCATTAAAGTCTGATAAAGCATCAATCCATAGGTCAAGAAGATAAAAATGTACATTTATTACCATTCTAAGTTGTCCCTTTTTCCCATTTTATTGTTCTGAAATAGATACCTTGAATTAAAATCATAACAGCTATGAAAGTCATTTTATTTAAAAGAAAAATTGTCAATCTGAATACAAGGTGAATAAAATAGTCAATAATTAATAAACTTCCAATGATTAATATGTATTCTTTACTCTCACATTTCAAATCACTTGATAAGTGGATTTACAACCTTGTTTCAAAAGGGATGAAATGTTATTTCTTTGCTTCTGTCACTGTAAAAAAAAGATCAATTTTGAGTATTTTAAACATGCATTTTATTTAAATACATATTGGAAATGATTTTTTAAAAGACAAAATCATGTATCTGTTTCAAACAAGATACGCATCAGTTTTTCATTCTTCATTCATAAATTGGCTTCATAATGATTTTGAACCCTATATTAAGATAACTGTCAATATATGGACAGTATCTTTTCAGACTTTTTTTTAGTCTTAGAAGATATGTTATTATCCATACATTAGCCATTTGTATTTAGTCAGTTCAGTAATGAAACATACTCCATCTTATTGTATCATTATAATTTGTTGGTCTGCTTCTCTTAACCTTAGAAGACATCTTCCTTTTGCAGCCTACATGGAATAAACTTCCTATTGCAGATTATAATGATTAACATTGTAAAAATATACACAGAGTCCTACAGTGCACTATTTCTTCTCGAAGGCAAGTGCTTGAAGTATCCCTGTGTTTGCTATTCTAATCATATTTATTCATTCAATCAAGGTATCTTTTTTGAGTTCTTGCTTTCTGTACAGCTGTATTCTAGGCACTAGAGATGCAGCTCAGTAAAAAAGAGACAGAAGTCTCTGCCCTTGTGCAACTTTACAAGAGGTTTATTATATTGGAGGAATCTGGATTAGCCCTCTGAAAACCACGTGGCATGTACATTTGCAATAACTTGTCAGTTTCTTTTGAATTCCATTTCAGTGATCGCATGATGATGAGTTTCTTCTGGTTTTTAAAGTCACTGCCTTGTAAGAGTAACCAGGTTTTCCTTGGACAAATGTGTTGGTATCAAACTTAATGTGAACCTGCTGACTGAAGATCTTTTTTGGCCCTAATGTTTTAGGGTTCTCCCACCATGCCTTTCTAGAAGGGGATACGCAGCCCTAAGAGCGACTGATCAGCCAGTCCTTAGGGGAAAACATCCCGCTCGCTCAAGGTCGAGTGAGCACTCTAGTGTCAGAGCACTGTGTTCTACCCACCACCTTGCCCCTGGAGGGTCGGCGCCACCTTCTCCGCTTCTGACAAGGTCGCTATTCAGTGTCCAGCCCAGCATTCATGTTCTGCCTCTGGGTGTTGGTGTGGTGTTGTACTTTCCTGAGCACTTGATGCTTTCACTCATTATGACACCATAATTTTTACCCCTTTCTTTGTGGCACTTAAACCTATTCCACATTCTCTATAGTTGCATCTATCTTCACTGTGCTGATAGTAGTCTATAGTTCCTGCCAATTAGCTACCATTGAAAATTAAATTTGGCTGTGTTATGTCCTTCCATCTGTTTGTGGCATATTCATATATATATATATATACATATATTTTAATTATGTGAAACTCTTTATGAAAAATTACCTGGAAAATTAAATGTGTATTTGCTTTAAAAAGTATAAGAGAAATTTCTTTTATAAAAATCTTTTGTATGTTTTCGGTAAAATCTTAGAGTGTTTGAAAGTTTTTTAGTTAAAAAAAAAAAAAGTGAATGCCAGCAGATGGAGGTCAGATTACTCCTGTGCAGTAGTAATGTACCTGCACACTTCTCAAATTTATATTTGTAACTTCAATCCTTGGACCAGTATATTTTATAGCATGTACCCAAGGTTATTTTTTTTAAATATCCGTCAAGGTTTTCCTATTTAAAAATAAAGAACAAATGAATGGTAATTTATAAAAGTCTACAGCTAGAAGTATTCTTATCACTTATAAGTAATTCTATATATAAATATTGACTTAATAGTAGCAATTTAGGCAACAGCCTTTCTTGACTAATTTATCCACATGGTTAGGATTCAGAGGCTGTAAGCAGATATATTTGGTTCAGCACCACCAAAAATGGATAACTTAATGGAAAGCCACAACTTCATAGAAAGTTATTGCAAAGTGAGTCTGATTGTACTCAATTCAGGAATCATTATGCAGAACTATATGTGACAGACATGACCTTGTCTCTTTTAGCTCCTTTTTATAGTATTTCTTTTACACATATCATCAAAAGCATTTGATTTTGTTTCCAAAGGCTGAGTTAGGAGGTTTATGTCTATTTTAATAGTAACAGGAAGAAGGGAAAGGTACTTGTCAGGCCCTTCTTGGAGTTTCATAATTTCATTGCCCCTTTGTTTTGTGCCCACAGAATGCACAGACAAGCAAGTCCAACCCATCCTCCTCCTTCAGACACATCCTTCAGCAGTCGGAGGGGACGACAGCTCCCACAGGTGCCAGTGAGAAGCGGCAGTATAGAACAAGGTATCCAATAAAGAGAGATCATTGTCCAAAAACCTTGGATTTGAGAATCACCTCTTTTTATACTCTTTATATTAAATGAATAATAATTTATGTAGTTTACTGAATCTTAAAATTTTGTTTCTTAGAATTTTATTCCCAGAACCAAGTTATAGTGGTTTATGGCATATACTCTGTTTTTGCTGAGTGAGTGAATGAATGAATTTTAGACAGTCAATTGAGAGAATGAATTGAGCCCTAGAAGCACCTTTTTAGAAAGGGACAAAAAAAATACAGTTTTTAAAATCTCAGTAAAATATGATATTTTATGTGTTAGAAGAAGGCTTAAACTTATTTTAAAAATATTTTTTAAACATTTGAAGTCTTTACTGGTATTTTTAATTTTAATATACTTGCAATATGCTAGTTTTTTATACAAGTTTTATGACACAAGAAAAAGTTAGAACACATATTTTAGTGTTTTGGGTGTTTTTTTTTTAAACAGTTCATGTTACTTACAGATTCTCTTATTTTAAGCATATACACATTGTGTTTATTTGCCTAGAAAGAAAGAGAATGAGAGAAACAGAGAGAAGAGAGCTTTTGTTAATGGAAATTAAGTTCCCTAAACTTAATGCAGGCTAGATTATTTCAATACTGTGTTAAAATAGTCCCAGTTTTTTTTTTCATGTTCCCCAAGGTCTATCAGATTTCTCACTAGGTAAAAAGATTTATAAGTATATGTTATCACTTAAGTATTATCAGAGATCCACTAAGTAATGTACTGAAATAATTTTTAGTTTGGGGTTGTAGTATAATACAGTGAACTTCTATTTAAAATGTGTGTTCAAAATCTTCATCCCCGTAAAACAACTAAAAGGTTAACATTTTGTATATTTTTTTCAATAGTGTTGGTTGTTCTGATGTGAAATTTGTATTTCATTCTATATTGAGGGAGCTGTGTAGGTGTTTTACTATTTAACTGTAGGAATTTACTGAATGTATCATGTTAATATATCACAGAAATGATGTAAGAAGATAAATACATTGTTTCAAAGACATATGGCAGAGAGTACAAAAAGAATACTTGGTTATAGAAAAATTAATATAGATTTTAAGAAGTATCAACTTACTAAGAGGAAGGTTGCTATGGTAAACTCTGGATATGTATTATTTTTAAAAATTATATGTCTCATTGATATATCATGCTTCAATATTCAGGCCTGTTATAAGAGTATTCATTTAGTTAATAAGGAATTTATGCCATGTGAAACTCTGACTTTCTTTTCTAAAATAGCAATTAATTGGAATTCTCAGTCATGTGTTTAACAAACTTTTCTCTTTTGGGAACATTTTGAGAAGATAATTCATAATTAATGTTCTTAAGGCTCGAATTAGCAATAGCCTAGATGAAACTGCTTTAAAAAAACTTGGTGTTTATTTAAATTATCCATTCATGAACTCCTGTTGCACAACTAAAAGAACCACAAACTCTGGCATTTTGTAGAAATTCATTGTTACTGGCCATATTTTGCTAAAGATCGATATCCAAAACGTCATGTGTTCCTAAAATTCTTTGCATTTCCTCCAGTTGCTATAATACTCTGCAGGTTCAAAAGCATATAAGGGTACTGCATATAACTCTTATATAGTGAGATCATAGTTATATTACTTCTGTAGAAATAAGAATTGCTTCTATGAAATCAGTTGGATTGTATGCTGGATTTGTTGTTTTTTTAAAAAAAGCTTATGTTCTATTGTTAATATCAACATTACTGTTTATGATATTCATATTCACAGTTGTCTTTCAGAGAAATCATCAATTTGTAAGGATTGAATTGAGGTGGGAAGAAAGGAATGACTGAGCTTGAAATTGATGGAGTTATTTTGAAATTTAATATAAATATACTTAGTCAACACTTTTTTGTTATTTGAGGTTCCTGAAATTTATGGTCTCAAAACCTTTCAAAAATCTGAGAACAAACATGTGTTATTGTATCTAAGTGTTCTAACATAATTAAAACAGATCTGGTTTACTTTTGATTTTATGAAGTGCTCTGGGACTTTTGGTAAATGATAATAGTATCTGCCATCATCATATTGTGGATCTATTTCAAACTGAACAGACATGAAATCTTTGTGTCCTAAAATATGTTTTTAAAAGTAAACTTTTTATTTGATTGATAGATTAGCAGAATGTAGCACATTCTATTTATGATTGATTTCATTGTTCGTAGGGCTATAGGATTATTCTTTCTTCTTTTGACAGTATTTTTTAAACATTAGTTCAGTCTTCTTTGTAGTTAACGCTGAATGAAGTTCATTTGCAAATTAAGCCTCTACTCCACTTGACTTCCTTCTTTCCAGTCTTCTTTTTTGTTGCTGTTGTCTTTTTTATTTTTAACAAAGGGTAGTTTTATTTATTTATTTATTTATTTTTGAAAAAAGAACTGAATTGATGATAAGTAATGTTGGTAAGATCAGATATTTCAAATGGTTTAGATTCCTGGATAGTGATACAACTTTTTGATGAACTCATAAAATGTTATTCATACAGTTGCTGGATACAGTTATCTACTTGATTGTTTTTAGGATTCGTGCCAGGATGATTAGATTGTTTGACTGGATGCATTCTTTTTTTTTAAATTCAGTCTTAGTCCTCTGTATTTGTACCATAAAAGCAATATGTCCTATAAAGGCAACACATCCTTTGAAAGAGCATTTTTACTAAATTTTTGAAAAGTTTTTTAAAGTTTCTTCTAAAAATTAAAAATGCTAGCCTCTTTGCTACATGGAATCTGATTATGTTAAAGTATACTTAGAAGAAAAGAAGAGGAGTGATTACAACACAGATTTTGAGATAAAGTAGCCAAAAAAGTAGCCTTACAATTTAAATAACTGATGGCATGTGATAATTGAGCAAAGACTCCTAAGAAATTTCTCTGATTATATTACAAATTTGTATTCCAATGTAGTCCTTACAGGGAGTGAAGCTGAAAGCAACATAACTGTTTGCAAAGAAATGTATGGTTTTCTGAAACCAACCAAGTGACTTTTTGTGCTCAACTGAATATCTTTTAAAGAAATACTTAAAAATTATTTGTAAACTAACACTTGGTGTTCCAGTTTTATTTTATGTGTTCTATTATTAATATATCTGTTACTTAAAACTCTGACAATACCCCCTTCAGAATTATCTAGATAGACCACTATTTTTCAATAAATAGTGTACAAATAAGGAGGTAGATATAAAGCTTTATGAAATGTCTAAGAAATATAATCTCCAAAGAATAATTTCACTTTGGGATATTTTAATATAACTAATTTGGGAAGGAAGAAAGGATTACTTAAACTAGGATAATTTTTTCCTTGTGGGAAATGTTACTGAATATTTTCAATGAAAAGAAAATGCTTACTATCTAGTAAAAAATGGAATTCTGTTTTTCATGGCTTATATGAAATTTCAAATTATCTGAAATGCTATCATTTTTGAAATGATGAAAAATGTTCATTATGAATATTATGGATGCTTTTTAATATGCTTGCAATAAAAAGTCATAGTGGATTAAATTAGAATTTATAGGAAAAATTAGTACTGAAATATTTTTGCAGTTCCTAAAAGAAAGAAAAAATGCCACACAATATATTTTCAATGCCAAACATTATTAATTTCCCAATGTTTATGTTTTTATTTTAAATATTTAAATTATTGTATTCATTCTTTCTTTGATTAATTTTAGTACCATATTTGAGACTTCTTATGATTTGTCATTGCAATTTATCATGTCACATTATATGTTGTACATTTTTATTATTCATGCCATTGTGCTGATTCACATTTCCGTGTCTAACTATAAATTTGCTGATTTCTTTCTTTTGTTTCCATCATTATGTGCATTTAATTCATTGAAGAACAAGAAAAATATAACTCTTCCACAAAAGGTAAATATTAATGTAACTTTTTAACCATTTAATATTATTCCTTTTCTTTCATAATATGTGAATTATATAACTGTATTTATTGAAATAATGAGCAAAATTATTTAACATAAAGGTAGTTTCCTCCCTGCAAAGATTTTGTAGGGCATTTGGTGTTAAGTATTTTGTATTGTGCACATTGAAGAGGAAAAGATTAAAATTAAGAGTGCTTTTGTCTCAAAATTGATCTATGATGACAATTACTTTTGAAAAATAATATATTTTTATATGTTTTTGTTTGTTTGCATTCCCCTGCTCTCATATAAAAGGTTTGATTATGCCTCTGTTCAGCGTAGTATCTACTGCAGCGTAGTATCTACAGCTGCCTAAATATCACTTCTCTCGGCCTCAGTACTGTTACAATACCCATGAGTTCTGTCTTCCTGAGTGACGAGGAAAACCACTCAGCCTGCTATGTTGGCACATTAGTGATCTCCTGTCTTTTTATATTTTGGATCACATTTGATTTTTGGTCTTTGGACTTGAGTTTCAAGTACTCACATACCTTGTCCTGCTCATGTACTGCCCGTACCATTTTCTATTCACTGTTACTGTTGGCCTGATAATTAAATATTTGAACATTAGCTTTTAGCTTAATAGAATGTTGTTAATAATAGTTAAAAAATTAAATAATCCTATCTACATAATAAAAGTACATTTACTTAGTATTTGTGGATTAATGATTGAATTAATTTTTTGGGCATAGTAGTCCTAAAACTTAGAGAGTAGCATCATCTTTTTTTATGAATGATAAAGCTCAGATTCAGAGACATTAAGAGATTTAGCCATCTACACTGCTAATGAATGGTAGACTATACACCCAGGTCTCTTACTTTTTGACATCCTTCCTCTATACTCTAGTATATCCTATTTTAATAGACGTGAATCCCAAGTACATTATCCCTAACTCCTAGTGTATTAAGGTATGTGTTATACACCTCAGTATTACCAAGTGAAAATGGGAGATAATATTCGATTATTTACTTAATTTGAATTTTAAAGATACATTTATATTCTGGCAAAGTATCTGACATACTAGGCAATAAGTAGATATTAATATAAAATAAAATGTTATTCAGTAAGGTCAAAATGTCTTGGTCCTTAGATTTTGCAAAGATTGCTGGCCATCCTGCATTTTTAATTCAGGTATCAGAAACACAACTTTAGATTCAGTGGTTCAAAAATAGCCAATGCATTTGTACCTAGATGAATTTAGTTGGATTTGTATGACAAATTTAGTATGATAAAAACCTTAAAACTTTATATTAGAAATGGGTCACGACCTAATTAAGTTAGCCAAAAGAAAGAAAAATGTAATAATTATTCACTTAGAAAAATCTTCTATATATATTATTAGTAGCCAAAAGCTATAATTAGCTAATCAAAACAAAACAAAACTCATAAGTTGTACAACTTAAAATCTCTATGAGTTATGCACATTTAAAGCCTCACTACACAGCCTGACATTTCTGCAAGGTCATTGTGTTCTGGCTGAGAGGTATCGTCACCCTGCCAAGTCTTCTTTGCATGTAGAACATGGATATGCTTCATGGAATGGACCACATGACTGAAACAGCCAGAGGCACATCCCAAAATGCATGTAAGCAAGGCAGAGGTTGTTGCATCCCTCTCCTAGGATTTAAGGGAGTATTGCTTAGTCACAAAAAGTTTGAAAAGTCCATAAATGATAGAAGCAAGTTCAAGAAATCTCTTTAAAGTCTAAGTTTAGGTTCACATATCCCCACAAGAAAGAAACAGTTTTATTTTGTATAGAAACCCTGCTGCTATGAGCTGACTTTTCTGTGATGGATTGTATTGGAGAATTAAGTTATCTTGAATCTTCCCTGGATAGATGAAGACTGGGACAAACTGCCTACCTGAAAGTATAGACTAAGGGGCTCCTAGTGACAGTTTGTTTTTAATGAATGTAGACCAACTTGTAGGACAACTAACAGTCCCAGTTTGTGGAGGACTGAGAGGTTTCCCGAGATACAAGATTTTCAGTGCTTGAACTGCGGCAGTTCCAGACAAAATGGGATGGTTGGTCACCCTAACTGTAAAGGAACAGTATATAATTTTCCAGCATATGTTTGTAAAGCACATAAACAGAGATGTTAAATACTATTAACATTTTTAATGTTAGATAGAATTTATTCACCATTTATTCTATGTCAATAACTTGACTAAGAGTGCTATATATTTATCTCATGTTCTTACAACAACCTGAAAGATAACTATGTTTATGGTAACAACATGTGCAACTGTAAGGAAGGGATTAGTACCTGTTTCATAGAGTCAGAGGGCTAAGTGGGATGCCTAAGGGACAAAGCTGCTGCACAGCAGAACCAGATTTCGAGTCTGCCGCCCATTTTCTGTCTACAGTCCATGTTGCTATGACATCTACCACTTACAGCACCTTAGAGAGGCTCATGTAGGAGTCCCACCTCCCCCTGATGACCCAATTTCTTACTACTCAACTAAATCTTATACCCGGCTTGTCCCTCAAATTAATGTATTTGAATAAAGATAACACATTCTTGAAGTTGAAAAGTTAACTGAGGAACTATAAATGTTTATAAAACGTTATTTATCTTTTCCTTCCCTCTTTTATGTTGAAAGCTGAGAGACCATATCATTTTAGACTTCACAAACTGCTTTATAGGCATATTTTAATTATTCATTCTAAAAGTAAGCCAATTTTTCCCTCTCTGCTACATTTCTTGGACAGTTTTAAAGAGCCCATGAATGTAGTTTGGGGGCATCGAAATAATGATATAAGAAGATCAAAACAGAACCAGAAATTAAATGACTTCAAGGTGAGAAAAAATGTTACTATCATAATAAATTTCTAATTTATATACGTTTGGATACTATTTCTTAAGTGCACTAACTTTGGGGGTTTTGGAAGCAATTTTAAATCCTAGCAAAACATGTCACATTCTCTTTTATACAAATATGAATTTTCTTTATTATAAAAAATGTGTAACTTACACCTGTGGAGAATGAAAAGCAATTAGAGTTCAAATTATTAAATGGTTTGAACAGGAACAAAGAGTAAGTGGCACTTGTTGCTTTTTTATTTTCCTGCTTCACTAATAAAATATATAATAATTATTGCAAACAAGTTGTAGGGGCTCTGTAAGGATTGTCTACAGTCAAGTGTATTTTAAAGTATAAGGTTTTTATAAAAAATGGTCAAATCAATTACCTGTACTTTCCTTCCTTAAGTGTTGACAAGAACAGTTGAAATGCTAAGTTAAGCAAAATAGAATTTATGGAACTATTAAGCATTACTGCAGTTCATATAAAAAATGAAAAACATTTAATGATCTTCTGTTACCTAAATTATTGTATAGATGATACCTGCACATTTACTTTAACATTTACTTTAATGGTATACTATGGTTGTGAAACACATTATAGGAAAAAATCATGTAACTTAATCTTTGTTGAAAGTAAACTAATTTGTGTATTCAGAAGCAGCACTGTTTTAACTGTCACTAAGTAGAAAAGGATTTCAGTTCTATTAACATTTTTATTAGATGCATATTTAGTAGGGTGCATTTTAGGCCAGGTGATTCATTTCCTGTTATTATATCATGTTGTGATTTCAAAGGTTTAAGTTTCTTTATCTTCCAGGCTTTGCTTTTCTTGAACCCTTATGAATATTTATGAATAGTTCATAAATATTCAGAGCTCCATCAGTAAAAGTGTCTAATTTACCCATTTCTTTTTTTGCCACAAATCCTTAAATATAGTTGTCATTCTAGCCTTCTCTTTAAACTTTAGAGACATAGTGAGTGAAGCAGCTTACGTATAACAGTTCAGAACTCTTGGTTTTAATCCTGTTTTCCTATCTGTTGATTAATATATGGTTATTTAAAATAGTATATAGACTGTAAAAACTTCAAAGTAGTTAGCACTCATGTCAACTTGCAAGATCTGCCTTGTTGAGGGAGAACATTGTTACCACTTTCTTCCTAGGATTTTTTTTTCTTCCTAGGATTTTTTAAGAAAGTGTAGAGGAAAAGTAAAAGGCAGACAGATGTCTAGCCATGCATAAGTTCTGTGATTTTTTTCCTTTAACAGCATGTGTTTCCCTTCAATATTGTATTTTTAACAAATTTTAAAATTGATAAGCACTTTTTATATTAAAAAGGGAAGAGACTATCAAAAAATTGATGCTGAATTTAGCAGTTAAGCCATATCAAACCTTTCAAGTTAGATACTCCTCCCATCTGTATTGTAATGGCATAATAAAATAATGTGATTGGAATAAGTAATTGGAATAATGAAAACTATGAATAAACATTTTGGAGATCACTTGGAATGAAGAACATGATCCCTCAGGGAATGATTTTGGTATTCCCCCAGAGAAGCCTTACATACATGGGCTGCTTTTCATGAAAACTGTATTCTTGAAAGTGTCTCATAAGGAAAAAGGTTCCCCCCAGAATAGAAATACATTTTATAAAGCTGTTTACCCCTATGAAACACAAAAGGGCAAAGTAAAATGACAGATTATTTCATCAAGAGCCTTTCTAATCTGTCAAGTATCTGACTAGTATTTGCAGTGTTACTCTGGTGCTTGGCAATTTTAACACTGAAAGGGATGCCTGGATTGGTAATCCTAGCTTTGTTTTAGACAGTTCAGTGAAAATCAGCATGCTTAAACAAGAAATGGTCTTGTGGCTTTGGCTATGGTGAGATTTGAATGATTATATGTACAAATAACCTATTCCGCCTGTGCCAATATTGCACTTCAATGATCCATACCAAACATAAGTTATTTTCTTTAAAAGCCTTTAAAGGCAATATGTTTTCACTTAACATGTTATTTACTTGTTATATTTAATACTTCTCATGCTGGATAGATGTTATCTGTTATTTTTATTGTTTGTACTATGATTGCACAATTCTTAATATCTAAGAGAATCATACAAGAGCACAAGGAAAACAATTTG